GCAATGAGGTCGCATTTCAACTCCGGGCCAAACTATAAACATCTGTCATATCCTTCCCACACAATTTCACTTTTATTGCAGGTTTCCCTGTTGGTTTGTCCTTCCCAGTGTCTTGTTTGTTTGCTTGTAGCATGTGCACTGAGGCAAACACATGCTCATCACGCAGAATAATGAGCCGCCCTTTTGTGTTGTTTTTTCCGGGGCAGATTCTTTGCAGATGACAAGTCTGTATACTTTGAGAAGAGGGTTTTGTTTGTGTTCTCCATTATGGAGGGTTGGGGGGTCCGGCTTAGATGGGAGGGGGGAATCCAACCTGAGTGAGAGGAGCCCAAGAAAACAGTGAACCTCCAAAACAAAACACTTTCTATGGAAATGGATATATTTACTCGCATGGCTCCCAGAAGAACCACGGCCGAATGGCTTTTTAATGGGAAACAGGGGGGACTGTGTGAGGCCTGCCAAAGGATCTCCATGAGAAACATCCAATCTGAGGCCGAGAGAAAACAGTCAAATCCTACAGGGGTGCTCAATTAACACCAAAACACAGGTCTGAATATAAATAAAACCCTTTGACTTGTTGTCTTTCATAACTTAATCCAGCTCAAAAGGATAACATATAAATACTGGTTGGGCGTTATGTAGAAGTATGACAGCAGTAATCTGTGTTAGATGTGAATACACAGCTATTTGCTTACATTGTACAACCTCTGCTCTGCTTTTGGATACACAAAAGGCAGGCAGACTCGATGCCCCCACCCCCGCAACCCTTGCTCAGTCTCTCTTGGGACGAATGCCAGTGACGGCGGCGCATTTCTGTGCCCCCGTGTTCCTCAAATCAGCGGGATGATTTACAGCCATTGTGGTTCGGTCGAGGCCTCGGTGGCGCTCGGCGTCTAGCCCCCCCCGATTCCAGGGCGGTTAATGAAGCTGACCAATTCAGGCAGAAGCGAATTAACTTGGCTGATTAATTATTTATATGAAGCAGAATAAATGCCTTTAAAACACTGGGCCTCATCATGAAAGAAGGTGAAAATGGAACTAAATGCAGATTTACGGTGTTGCGTTTAAGGCGTGTAATAGGAACGGGGGCCAATGAGAGTTAATGTGTGTCTCCAGAGGTGCAGATCTAAACAACATGCAGACACACAGCCCAGACACCGTGGGGACACACACTCAGGCTGACAGACAGGAAATTGATGTTGACAACTTGTCACAGAAGAATATTTACAGAGCATAGGTGAGATACTAACCTGGATGTGGGGGTTATTTAAAACCATTGTTTGTGCATTTCAATACATACTTTAAAGCAAAATCACTCGCCAATCATCACATCTCCAAACCCTAATGTCTCAATCGCAGCAGAGGTCAAATTTCAATCTGATTTAGGGGTACGCCCACGAAACAAAATACTGCTGCAGGAATGCGTACAATAACATTTATTTGCTGTTTTCTAACTGCTTTTTCCTTTTCTACACGCAGACTCATACAGTTTTAATTGGTCTTTAATCTTAATATTCGTATTACTATTTTTCACATTTGGGTATTTGTTTATTTATTTTATAGTTTGCATTTATATTTTATAGTATTTATACAAGTCGCTTTATGTCTTACTTAGTTTTAATAATTCGGTTATCTGTTGTGAATTTTTTGATTATTTTTTTTTTTACTTTTTTTTCATACTGTCGATATTTTATTATTATTTATTATTATTATTGGTATTATTATTATTTCTTATAATTATTCAATTATTATTTATTTTCACAATCACATTTATTGTCTTTTTTTCTTCACATTTAGTTTTATTTTTATTATGTGTTCAAATGTTTTGTATGTTAATCTTGTGTTTTTTATAAAAAATTATGACATACAATCATTTAGTTAGACACTTCAAACAAGCTATAGTACGATTCCTGCCTATTCTTGCATATCATTTTGTATCTGTTATATGTTTGTGTGCTTTGAAAGTTGTGCAAAACGATGAAGTGAAACAGTTGTGGGACAGCGGCCCAGCTCAGTAGCAGTTGTGGTGAGTTAAACCAGCACCAGAGCTAAATTAAAGTCCTCTACGGTTCACGTCTCCTCTGTTGTAGAAGCATATCCGAGTGAGTCATCTGACACTGTGCCGGTTCAGTAGTGTGTCACTACGCCCACACACTCAGGGCCTGTCTGAGCAGCTCTGCCCGGCCTACAGGCCCCGATCCTGGGCTGGAGCTAGAGCCACCCCCCCCCCCCTCCAGACAGATGTTGACCCGGCTCACCCTTCCAGTCTGGCACAGCCTCCCTCCATAATGGGATTTTCTAAACAAGGAGTGAGGAATACGGCGGGATGGGACGCAGCCAGCCACGGCTCCACCTACAGGCCCCCGCTCGCACCAACTCACCAATTAGAAAACACACATTCTCGGGCTGAAATTAAATGCCATTTGAGATAAACCAGGGGCTGACGTTATTCACCCCCATTTAATTTCTCAAATAAAAGAGATTTTTTTCCACGTGCTGAAAGAAACAGAATGATCTGCTTTCTGTTTTTTTTCTTCCTTCTTCATAAAAAAGGGTGGAAAATAATGGCTATTATACATGCACTGTCATTCCATGCGAAATTTTCATAATTATAACGGAAAGGCGTACATTTCCAAATGCATGGCATCTCCAAAAGTAATCAAGTGAATGAGCCGCGGGGCTATTTTAATGTATGCAAAAACTAGTGACCCACGATAAAGGGAGGGAAAGGCTACAATGAATGCAAAGTAATGCGCGCATGCTTAGAACCGGCACTGATGAGGGGATGGCTAAAATTAACACCCAATTAATTTCCGAATTGACAAACAAATGAAACCCATAAATCTACTTTCTCATTAATTTCACCACATAATAATTCAAAGCTGGAATATCGTGAGAGGAAGAAATCGGAGGAAAGAAGAAAATGGAAAATGGGCATTATCCATCATAAATATCAAGAAGATAGGAAAGAGCCTTATTAGAGAGTTGTGCTGATAACAATGTTAATCTGTGAGGCGCTGAGGCGGGGACGCCATCATCAGCTGGGGCGGCTCGGACACGTGATTCGGCCTAATGTTTATCCATCTATTTATTTCCACTCTACTCATGGGATAGCCTCTTCTGCGAAGACTTACAAGGCTCCAAGTCTTTCCATCCGGTCCATTTATACAACAAGTTTGACTATAGCTGTAATTACGGGGTCAAGTGTCCTGCTATAAGGAGGTTCTGGGGTTAAAAGCACATCTGTTCAGCTCCAAACACAACATTTCAACATAAAACAATACACAAAAGGAGACATGAGAGAACAAAAAAACCCTCATTATTAATAGAGCATGTCATATTTTTGTTTTCTCGGAAAAAATAGTTTCAAAAAGAATAGAAATAATGGAAATTCCAGGAGATGAAAACAAGGCAACAAGAGTTGGTAGAAAAAAGAACTGGTTGTGCTGTTGATTATTAGATGCCTGTCTGTTCCTTTGGTAAGGGTAAGGGTAGGGGTAAGGGGGGGGGGGTTGCTTGCAAAACAAAACAAGTGTTTGGAACAAATACTGGATGATAAAAAAAGGTCAGAGTTTCTGTTTGTTGACAGTTTGTTTTGTTTTCCGTGCCTGGAATATGGGGAGTACAGTACAAACAAGAGTCACATGTGTCTCCCACCTGACCAGACAGGTTGAAGGTTAAGAACAGCCGGCGGCCAGAGCTCATCAGCCCTTCCTCTGCTTCTTCCCCCCCCTTCCCCCTCTCTCTCTCTATTGCTGGAAATCTAACGCCTGTCCCCCTGTCATGCTTGCCTGGAATTCAACAGCTCAAACACTATTATTAATGATTCATCGTCTACTTTACAATACCCACAACAATAATCGAATTGATTATGCTAAAATTGTGTCAAAACAACAAATGTTACCGTTCCTGTTTTCTATTGCCCAAAAGATCTGCACAGGTACTTATCCAAACTAAACATTGACGCAGGACCATGACATCGAAGGACGTTCTTGACTTTTGTCATGTAGTGCAGAATTCTTCAAACGTTAGCTAGAAACATGGGGCCGTTAGGCAAGAGCACTGTATGGGTAAACCCTCATGACAACAGTCTACCTCCAAATACCTAATAAATTGTGTTGTCGTAGGTCTTGGTTTTGTGTCGCTCTGTGTTCTGAGTAATTACTTTCGGAACCTCTTCTTACAGACAACAACACCGGAAATCGTGTTGCAGCTACTTCACAGTCAGATCGTTGGTCCGGCTTTGGATTTGTTGAGATTTAAACTTGGAGAAGGTAACAGAGGAAGAGCCGCACAAAATAGAGGGCGGGTTCTCTACACCACACGAAAACAACACCACGAACCACATTTGTGCCCGACACACTCTTGGACGAGTAGCTTCGTCCACCGGCGCCTCCGAAATGACAGTACTCGTAATTTCTTTTTGTCTTTGTGCCTCTTCCCAGTCTCGTTCGTCGACGCGTGCGGCTGGGATGGAACTTAGG